AAAAATTAAAATAATATAAATAATAAAATTATTATAATATTTATTTTATTAATTAAATATTTAATATTAAATTTTTTTTATATAATAGTTTAATTTTTTAAATTTAGTTTTTTTTTTTAATTAAAAAAATAAGCTAGTTTAAAAAAGTTTTTTTTTTAAAAATTTAAAACTTATATTATTTTTATACTTTATAAAAAACTTTTAAAAATACTTAAATATAAAAATATTTAAGCTTTTAAAATACAGTTTATATTAATAAGCACTAAGCCGTTTTAATAGTATAATATTTTAAGCTTAGGTTATAATGCTATAAGAGAAATATTTGGCACATAGATTTTTGCGGACATGCATTATACAAGGTTGTTTTTATTACAACATAAGACTAGATCCTAAGCATAATGAACTCACAATAAAGGCATTGTAAGCTAGTAAGTTCTCCTCATATATGATTTATAAAAGTCACACAACATCAGTCTAGCTTTAGGAGCTCTAATTCGCGTTCTTGCTAAATTTATCAATTTCATGGCACAGGCCCGCTTGAATAAATAGTACTGCGATACTAATAAATACTTCCAGTATTTTAAAAAGAACTGCGATTAAAGATGGAAACATAAATCGAGAAATAGCCAAGTGACTTTCTATAGCAGCTCAAAAGGGACCAGTAAACAAACTATTCCTTATGAAAGTAATAAAAGACAATTTCCTAATTAAGCTCCACGATTAGTACCATGCATAAGTCTCCTAGCTTTAAGATTGGCTGGTAAAGCTGTGGCGCACACCAGCCATCTAAAACCTGCGTCTGTGTTAGATACAGATTCGAGAATGCTCCGGACTATACAAATTTATGCAATCTCATAGTTTAAGAAGCTAGGCTACGGTTATTTGATTCTATAAAGCATGCATAGGCGTAAGATTTCAATTATACCCATGTAATAATGTAGCTAGGTAGCCAAAGATCACAGCTGATTCGCTTGATCTATGAATGTGAACCCCGCCTCTGCCGTGAAAGGTAGGTTGTTGGAGGGGTCGGGTCTCCGATATAGCCGCCTAACATTCGAATCAGACATTTGCTTTCATTCCATGATCAAGCCCAGGTCAATCCTCAAACTCGTACTTATTCGTATCTTCTAGATACAAGCCTTAACTGTTTGCCCTAGGCCACAGCAGACGGATCGAACAAAGAGACTGCTCGTTTACATAGTAGGTAGGGCATGGGAAGGTGATTTTAGAGACCTTCGCACAATAGCAATAATCCATTACCTACCAATAAGTACAGTGTCCGTGACAATCTCCAAACGGGAGCTCTCGCGATCATGGCGAGTTCATCACGGAATATAGCTCCGTCAAACTCCGAATATCAGCATTTCGTTCCTCAGTTCATGCTGAGAAACTACGCTCACAAATATTCAGGGCCTCAGCGTACGGGGAAGGGGAAAAGGGGCAAAAAGAACCAGAAGGACACTCTGTTTCGCGGCGAACTTGTGGTCAATAATGTCAACATGAAAGCCGACCCCTTCATCATCGAAGAGACCAAGGTATCGCGTATTCTTGGGCAGTATGATATGTACGAAGACAAAGCTCAGCCCACAGCCCAGCAGCGAGAGATCGAGACGATGCTAGGCAAGTTGGAGAATCACGTCAGTACCAGTGAGTAGTATCATGATCTGTTTCTCGCCGTTTTACCATTCGAGAGGGTAAAATTATCCCATGTCCCATGATTCTGAGAAAGAAGAAGACTAACTCCTATTATTCAAGTCTTCCGAAAGATCGTCAAAGCCTTCGAAGCTGGGGACCCGAATGTATGGGTGACACGAGAAGAGCGAAACTCTATCCGGAAATTCCTCTTCATCCTCAAATATCGCGGGCGAACCTTCCACCGGCGCTTTACTGGCCCAGACGAATACAATTACAATGACAAGTCAAATCTTCAAGCATATATGGAGAAGAGCAACTTCAAACGTCCTATTGATGTTTGGTTTCACGGTCTGAGAACCATTATGAATCTGAAGATGGACACGGAGAACTGGCAGCTGGAACTTACCGAGAACATGTACCGGACCGATGCCATGTGGTTCCTCATGCACTCGGAGATGATGTACATGGCCATTTGCACACCGTCCGAGCCGGAAGCCGAATTTATACTGACGGACAATTGCTACAACGTGTTTGAAGGCCCGAACACTCATGCTCAAAATCCAGCGACGGGGGAGTTTACTGAGACCGGATGGACAAGTTTCCACGAGTTTGCCCCTCTCTCCCCCAAACTCATGATAGTTCTACGGAGCAACTTACTTCCAGTGCCAGAAGAGGACAGCAATCCAGAAATCAAGGCGTGGAGAGATGCCCAGCGTAAGGGGGCAGTCGACGACTTCTACGGGTACAGCGTACAGTCGAAATTAGCCGACCTCCCCATAAATAAGGCACGCAACAACTACAGCCAGGTGGTAAACGGCCGAGTGCAGAACCTACCAGGTGAAGATGGACGGCTGCTCAAGAGTCACAAATTCTGCTTCTCGTTTTTCCCCGTCGGCATGGAACACGTCAACAAAATCAACCACATCCTATTTGACAACGCGCACCGGTGCAACAGTATCGTCTTTGGCTCTAAAGAGACCTTCTTCAGGACACTGGAGTGGTACATGACCTGCGATCCGAGGCTCGGCAAGGTGATTGTAGGTGACGAGGCGGACGCGAGACGCAAGCTTCTTGAGAATCTTGGTGCACTCATGAAGTCGCTAGGTTCGACAAAAGAGCCAGTGTGGAAGGAGGGTTCGAATCCAGACATAGCGAAGGAATTCGCCGAAATGAAAGCTATGGAACGCAAAATGCAAGATGGCTTACTAGAGTGGATGCTCTCAGGTCAAAAGGAGCTGGAGAAGCCTGAACCCCCTATAGGGACTAAATTCGCATATTTATCGCTTGGTAGGACGTGTTCCAACACAGTATTGTTCAAGTTCTGTCATAGACGCTGACCAAATATCTCACACGCAGGAGGCTCCAACCAGACATTCTTCGAGGATATGGAACTGGCCCAGCAGATGCTAAAGAGGAGGATCAAGGTAGACGTTGATTCGCAGGGCAAGCCAGAGGCGATTCGCTCCCGAAACCGCCAACGAATCGAGGCGGAGTATCTCACGTACCCGTCGGCGAGAGTACTCTTTTACTCAAAAAATGTGCGGCATATGGTTCTTGGGAAAAACGACCCAGGATACCTCGAGAGAGAAATGCAGAGACATGCCGAGGATCAGCCAGAAGACATCATTGCTCAGGGTGAGCATGTCAACATTTTCATCTATTCTACCAATTTATTTCTCTTTCCGGAAATTATTCTTCATTACAAACTGATATACCTGTAACGTAACTGACTTAGATAGCCTTGCATAACAAGATGACGACCCAGAAAATCAATCGACTCATGTTTAAGACTGTTATGAACGATATCGACCTAGCACAAGATCCGGTTTACGAGTATGAAATCTGGGAGGCACCGCCCATAAGCCCAGAAGGAGCTATCCGGATAGAGATGATTCAAAAGTTTGTGTTCGGTATTCCCGGTAAGCACTCCTTTCTTTGCTTCTGGGAGGTGGCTAACTAAGCTCAATCAGGTCTACTAAAGGAGTGTGGTAAGATATTCTCCGTAGATCATTATATGACCTATTCTCACTTATCTACTTATAAAACAGGAATTCCCGAGATCGAAAGACTCGCTTTAAGTCAAGAGCAAAGAATCCAACGGTATGGTCTCAGCAGGGTGAAGGGATTCCCTTTATACTTTCTCCCCGACGAACCCAAGATGGAACTCTTGACGAGAATCATGGTCAGGCCCGGGTTCCGGGGGGCACTCGCCAGCAGCGTCAAGCCCGGCCTATTGCAAAAATTGGAGGATGTCTTCTTCAAGGTGTCTTTCCCGACGCCGCCAACCAGTCCTCCTATCTAAGACCTCTCTTTGGTCAGCTGAGTGCCTGAAGCTACGTTTTATTTACGACGACAGTAATTTGGGGCCGATAGATGTGTTTTGCTCATTTCTATTGATCTCAATGTGTCCATGTTTATTTCTACTATTACAAGGTCCTACCACGTGAGGCAGGACTGCCACATAGGATGGAACCCTCACAACGAATGTAAACATGAACAAGGAGACTGATAATATTCGTAAATACGGTTAGATAGTCTTAGGATGGTGATTTTGAAAAATTTTGTTCAACAACGCCAGTCTGTTACCTACTAAAAGCATAGAGTTCAGACAACAACATTTGCAACCTGAGGCTGCTAAATTACTAACTGGGTTGGTTGGTAACGACCAGCTAATCCTTAGTGGTGTGCAATAGTGCCACAACATGCTCAATCCGAATTGGTGTAACGGTTAACATTTGACGTTTTCATTCCTCTGAAAAAAATCCGTCAGGCTCGGGGTTCGATTCCCCGATTCGGAGTTTCGTCTTTTTCTTTTATTTCTTTTCGCAGTTGATATGCCTTAATGAATGCTCTCTTTGGCTTTTCATTCTACTTTTATCTACCTGTGGGGCTTAGGTAGATGTGGTTGATTCTAAGAAGAACCGTGAAGATGGATTAAGGTAGGTATAGAAAAGCCAGTATTTTATAATGAGAGGCCGTTAATCTTAAACAATGTCAATGTGTCCTATTCGGAATACTCAAGGATGAAAAGAAGGTAGCTGCTGACTAGTAAGTTGATAAATACAGTAGTAGTTCATTTAACACAGTTTATGATACGCAATGTGCCAAGTAAGCAGCGCTAACGCCTGTCCTCATCCGATCGTTGTGTCTTAAATACTACAGCACAGGGCTCACATGCTCACATTTCCAAAAGAGAGAAACATGGTGGGTGGACAAACTATCATGGGTAGGCAGAAGGGAAGTGTATAGGACAATATAAAATTGAATTAACTAAAACCCCTATATCATATAGGGACAGTTGTATTCACACCCACCAAAATAACTAGCTCATACGGCGGCTAGCATATAATACCCTGCTCTTCTCTCCTTAGACTAACTTCAGTTCTCACAATTTGAACGCTTCCTTCAAATCATTAACACAGTCACCAACAAACTCCTTCGAGCCCGGATTCAACCCATCCCATTGTGGGAACGTGTGTCCCTGGCCCTTATATATCTTGATCTTGCTCTGTGTGCCCGCGGCTAGCAACTTTTCATGGTATACGCCGGCTTCAGAAACAAGGGGGTCGACCTCCGCGGCGCGAATAGAGGCCGGCGCGAGATTTTCATGGGACTCGGCAAGAAGAGGAGACGCCCTAAAATCTTTCGCTTTCTCCTCCCTATCCGGCCCGGTTCCTAGCCAGTAATTGTAGAACCAGACAAGGCGCGAAAGGGGCAGCATGGGCGCAAATTCATTGTTGACGTAGCTCTCGTACGGCCCGGCCTTGCACGAACCCTCCACGGGGACATAGCGTACGTCAACGAGCGGAACGATGAGGAGTTGCAGCTTCAGGGGCGGCAGGGTCGGGTCATCCCTCGCTAGTATGGACAGGACGGCGGCGAGACACCCGCCGGCCGAGAGCCCGCTTACCGCGACCCGCGAGGGGTCGATATTGAGCTCGGAAGCGTGCGCAAAGACCCATTTCAGAACATCCCAGCTGTCGAGCGCCGACGTCGGGTGCGGGAACTCGGGGGCCGTGCGGTAGTCGGCATTGACGACGATGCAGCCGGCGCGCTGGCAGAGCTGGCGCACGAGCGGCTCGTCGGACTTCAAGTCGCCGATCACGAAGCCCCCGCCGTGGAAGTTGACGAGGGCCGGTAGACGGCCCTCGGCGTCCGCGAGACCCCCGCTGCTTATAGCTTCGGGTGTTGGGACGTAGACCTGGACTTCGACCTCGCCTTCTGGGTGCGAGACGGGTACGCGGTGGATGGCATTACTCGCTACTTCGGGACAGGGGCCGGTGACCTTGCTTGTCGGGAAGCTGTATGCCTCCCTGTCTGCATTGTATGTCTCGTAGGGCACTTGGTCGGCCCGGAGACGTGTGGCTAGGGTAGAGTGAGCGTCTGACTCGTGATCTCGGCCGCTATGTCGCTAGACTGCTTACCCTGGTACCGATTGTAGATATCGAGATATACCGGGTCAAGTCTCTCAGCGATAGATGGCTGAAGCGCGTTTATCAGATCAGATGTATCGAGGGAACCCATGGTGTCTATGAAGCTGAAGTGTCTAGGGGTTGGGGGAGGTAAGGGGGTTCTCGAGTGAAGACTAGCCGGCTGGTCGATGTCGTCACAATGGCATAAGCGGCATAACCATAGCACACCTCGACCTACAAGATAAGGGTGGAGGCCAAGTACCGGCAGTTCCATGCATCTCATGTAGTCGCTTCTTCATGCATCTTATATAAAGCCATCAGGGCTATGCTCTCGGGGAAGCGCCGGGAGTCCGGGGCTTGACGCTCGTCGGCTAGTTGCATCTTGATAGGATAGCAACCTAGCATCGAGACGAAAGTCGTTAGCAAACCACGCAGCCCCTATCCGTCTAGAGAACAAGAGCCATCCATGGGCGAGGTGATCTCCTGATTTAACTCGTCGTGATGCGACCCCGATCCACCTAGCCCCTCAGACAATGGAGTTGCCATCTTTCCAGTGGGGGTCAACTAGTGTATCATAGGTTACCTTGGTGTCAACCTCGTGATTGGACTCGTGAGAGGCACGCGTTGGTCCTCTCACAATATCCTAATAGGTTGGCTTATACAGCCTATTGCGGGTTTCGAAGCTTGTCCAAGCACCCAACCAGTCAAGCCGTCCCAAGGATCCAGACTACCGACATCGGGGTAATAGTGGTTTTATGGAGCCCGTCCCGCTACATTTCATCCGCCAGATTGAACTCGTTCTCTCTCTTATACGAGACAGGAAGCAGATGACTGCTCGGGCCTCGGGTTTTTTGAGAACGGTCTAGTGGAGATTGGTGGGGGGTTTATAGGAATGGGGAAAGATGTGGTGGAGGTCGAAGAGATCTTCCCGAATAGGTAGGCTATCTCGGATTTCACGATGTCAATCACTCGTATGCACTTCGGAGTCGTGTAGCACGGGGACGACATGCCAATGTATCATTGTGTCAGCGGTATCGCAGACATTATTGGTCCTACAAGAGCTCTACAACCGGATCAATCTACATCACTTTTCGTCCTTACCCGCGAGTGTTGACGCCACGCTCTTGACAGTACTTGTCTACCTCCTTGCGCAGCGTATCCCGCTGCCGGTTGACGAGATCCATGATGTCTCGGCACTGATCCCCAAGTTCTGCGGGGCCGCTTTGTCCCCCTACATTGCCGTAGATCTCCACCATTTCCTCCATGACCGCCTGCAACTGATTGGGGAGCCATGTCACGATGGGGCTGCCACCCGTCGCCGTCGGATGCGATGTCTGCTTGAGAATGTACTCGCGGGCAAAGCACCAGTGACGCCATCGGAAGTCGCGGACCTGGTCAAGGAGCTTGATCCACAGGCGGCGCGACTCGAGCAGCAGTTCCTTCTCCTCGTCCGTCTTCGCAGCATAGAAGAGGTCAATGCCAAGTGCGAAGTCCTTGACGCCCAAGTCCTCGGAGCACTGCTTCACCTCGACGAGAAACTGCCGATGGTTGCTTGGCCGGTACTCTCTGAAGTCCCGAAGGATCTCCGTCAGAGGCGTGCTTGGCATCTGAATCTGCAAGAGGTTATCCATCAGCGGGATCATCGAGTCGTTTGCGCCGCTCTCGCCCCGAAAGCTCATTGGCTTGCCGTCGTTGATGCCCTCGTAGACCACGCCGTCCGGGAACATGGACTGCGACGTGATACCGAAGATGAAGGTGCGGAAGCTCGTGTACGAGCGCGGCTTCGACTTCCCCCACATCGTCTCCATGACGCTGTTGACTTTCCGCATGGCGCCCAGGACGGTGCGGAGGCCATCGTTGAACGTCTTCCGTAGCACGGTGGGATCCGCACCGTTTCGGTCCCCGAGAGCGGACAGGGCCGACATAGTGCCGGCTATTATGGGGCCGGAGTTCTTCACCATGTCCACGTGTACTAGTACGAAGCCCGCTTCTGACGACGAGGGGTCAAGTCCATGCTCAAAGGCACGAATGAGCCGTAAGTTGTCGTACTCAAGACCCCTATCTGGGTCCTGGAGGCGGTAATTGAAAAGGGCATAAGAGCCCGCATACTCCATAAAAGGCTTAAAGCCAGTACTGTATAGCCAGATTAATGATTATTCGTAGTCGATCTAGTACAGGCGGAATGACTTACAGCTCTGCGCACCGCGCGATAGGACGCGACAGTTGAGCCGGCAGAAATGACCGGCCCAACCCATACGGCTCCCCTTTAACGAACCTCATATGGCAAGGCTCTAAGAGATATGCCGAGGCAAGAAAGGAGTAGTCGCGATACAAGGCGTTCATCATGGGGAGATTGTCACGATACTTCTCGACCTCCTGGGTCAAGTCAGGAAGCTTCTCTACCTCATTACCCAACTGGCCAGTGGCTAAGAGCCCAGGACGCCCTGATTGTGTTAAGACGGGCATGCGTCGTAGCAAGTCTTCAGCAGCGTCAAATTCAGGAGGTAGGGCGACGATAGGATCCATCCGAGGCAGGAAGCCACGGGTGGCTGACACCATAAACGCCGGTAGTGAGACATCATGTGGTTTTGTGTCCTCAAGGACTTCAAAGGATGTGTGAGGGATGAACATGTTGGTAGGTATAAGTTAAGAAGCTTGTGGTGGGTGTACTATGTTGTTCTGGTGATCGAGATAGACGACTGGTATCCGAGCGAGAGAGGTTGCATAGGATTTTGGAAGAATTGAGGTGTAGGGTTTCATCTGGGGCCTAACCGCCAAAAGTCTGCTAATATACACCGTGGCCGGAACTGATTCCGGCCTCATCCACTGCCAACCCTAGAAGGAATCGGTCGTATCGGTGACGTGTTTGGTATAGATCCTACGTAGTAAACGGCCTCCTTCCCAGCATGGCACCGATATCCGTCCGGATCTGTCCTCGACTCCTCAAACTGACGATAAGGGCGTCGTCGCGGGGTTTCATACGACCCTCCACCTAGTGAAGCCATCGTGAGCGTGGAAATGATAAGGCCGACATCTCGGAGAAAAGACTTTATCCCTAATCTTCCGAGAAGGGTTTTGACGCCTCAGGTGAAGGGGTTCAGTAAAGTGATAGCGCTTATGTCACCGATAGATTAATCCTGTCATTGTATTACTCTGATGGGCGCAGTGGGCGTTGTTGTAGATGGTGAATGAATAATTAGTGAGTAATGAATTCATCACTAGGCTCCGCCTAGGCCGTCTGGGTCCCGGTGTGGACCGATGCTGGCCGGAACGATTCCGGCCACGCTGCACGTGAGCTCTCTCCGCCTATGGTGTATGGTGCGGCTTAGCTCATATTGAATTACGAGTATGTAAACCCTCTATGAAAGGTTGTATATCAGCGATTT